GGTTTTTGGCACTTATATACAGAGTCACTTGTCTTCACGGAGGCGATGTGGGACAAGATAATACACCTTTACACTCTCTCTCAAGTCCAATGAGTCTTTGAACTTTTTTGCCTAATGGACTTGGATCAGGACAAGAACAGAATAGTCCACGAGTCAACACTCTAGCGGGAGAAATCAATTATACCACTGGAGCGGTCCACAACAAGCCCACAAATCAACGCTCTAGTGGGAGAAAACCAGTTATACCGCTGGATCGGTTCAGAACAAGCCCACGAGTCAAAGATAAAGTGGGAGAATATAAAATCACCACAGGTCATTTTCGGCTCATAACTCCACCACAGGCCCAGCACGCTTTGCTACCATGTCAAAGTGTATAAGTATCTTGGGCTCCGATCTCAAAACCAATTGACAATGAATGGGGTGGCCTTTGGTACTTATATACAGAGTCACTTGTTTTTACGGTGGCGATGTGAGACAAGATAATACACCTTAACAATTCAGAACACATTAACCATCGAAGGGACTTAAATTTGAAGGGAAAAAAAAAAGAAGTAAAACATCTCCTATGTTTAAAAATATTATTTTCACTTCTAATATGTTTTGTATCAAAAGCAAAAAATAGACAATCATTCAGGATTATAATCGATATCTGAACGATTGTCACTTATAGATGACAAGTGTAAATGTTAACAGCTTGGTTTCTAGAAAATCGTGGGTATATAGCATTAATTTGATTGTTTTTATGCTTTCATCAAATTAAACTTACTGTTCCATAAGGGCGATTTACTAGTAAAATTCTTCTATTATTCCAACATGGATCCTTGTTTCAACTATTTTGTTCCAACAAGTATCACCTTTTGATCTTTAATTTCTTTCCTTTTTGTTTTTCACCACCATCTTTATTCGACAAAAAAAGTAATGTCTCCCAATGGTTTTTGTATCCTTCACAAATGCCACCGGACATCTCACATCATATCATATTCTTGTGTTTCTTACATTTGTTTGTTCTTTTACATTTTAAATTTGCTTGCCTACTGGCTTCAAACGTAAATGCCAAAATGGAGTCCAAATTTGTTGATGCATGCTCCCAAGTGTAATTTTTCTTTCGTGTTTGATTAATTAGAACTAGTTAATCTGTTCTAAACTAACGCATATTAAGAGGCCTTAGTATATGAAAAGGGTACTCGTTCAGTCACTGCAAGTTTTGAAATTTTGTTTATTTATATTTAGAAATTTTTTCAGCGGGTGAAAATTCGGTTACATTACATGTTGGTCAACTATATGTTCAAGCCAAGGTCGGCAAAAATTGCCTGATGTGTATACATACGATAGAATATAATCACATTCTTTTGGGTCTGACAATATCATACAATCCTTACGAAAATCAGAAAAAATGAGGTGACAATTCAGTACCTTTTTTTTTAATAAGGTACAATATGTTTTTCTATTTCTTTTTTCATTATTTAAGTATGTGTATCTAGGTTTTTATTTTTATTTTTAAAGGTGAATTTTAAAAATAGAGTACATGTTCTAATTATGATGGTTTATTTGGTGGTCTCGTTTCAAAATGTAAAAGGTAATAAGTAATTGTTGTGCAGCAATGATAATGAAGTAGTGTCAAGTAGATGGACGTTATTATGATATTTCTGGGGGTTCAATAATATACAAGGTCTTTTCCGTTATATTTTGACCTCTTAGATTTTGTATATTGAAAAATCTTAAAAATTGGGTTCAACGATTAGCCATGGCGGAATCAGAAATCGCTGACCATGCAATTGCGCATGCATTAGGATATTCTAAAATGACTTCCGGTGAAATCTGTGATGCGATTCAACTAGATTCAGGAGGTTCAATGTTATCACTCAACCATCTTTCGCTGAATAAGCTTATCTTAGCAGTTCCAAAGGTCTTCTAGGTTCAATCATTTCACTCAACCATCAGACTTCTTCTATGTGCTTGCTTTTTGGAAATGCAGTATGTCATGCAAAGTTTAGATGTTTGTTAAAATCAAAGCCGTTTCTGCTTTTTAACATCATCAATCTGATTTTAACACACAAGACAAAGGTTTTTTTTTTTCCTCTTCTTTGTTTTCTATATAAAATTAAAGCTGCAATGTATTCTACTAGATAATACTTCAATCCCAAAATAATTGGTTGTACTATGGGTGAAATATTAAATTCGATAATAATTTTGGTATGGAGAGAATAGAATCGTGCAAGGGTGGTCACCTGACCCTGCGATAGGCGATTTTTTTTTTTAAAGTACCTAAAAATTTTGAAATATTTTCAGAATTCTTTTTTTTTTGGGTGTATTCCATCTCGTGAGTAGTCTAGGCTAATTTCGTTACCGATTCTGATAATTGCCTGTTGAGTAGAGCGGAAGCTTTCCGAAAATTGAGTGAGATTCCAAACTACGAAACTCGTAATTACTATTTTTAGTTGCTAAAGATCAATCTATAGTGTGATCTAAATTCGTTGCTTTCGATCCTGAATTGTTTATGAGCTAATGGGGTTTTGGGACGGCATTGGTCTCGAAATTTAAAGTCACATGGAATACCAATGTGATTACTCATTATACCAACATGATTATGCACGTTTAATATAAAGTCACAAAAATATATACCACCTCCGCTGTTTATTATAAGACATTTTAATTTGATCTAAATTTTACCGAATATATTCTTTCGATTAAAAAAAACTAAATATTTTATTTTGATGTTCATTATGTTCTCCTAATTATTAAAAAATAATTTTAAGTTTTTTTTAATTAGAAAAACATATTAGATAAAAATTTAGTACAAATTAAAATGTCATATAATAAGAACCAGAAAGTACACAACAATCAAACTAGTTGACCGTTTGCTATGAAGTATTTTTATGTATATGATCATTTGAATAACTGCGGTAAAAGTTACTCCACAATGTGATTGAAATCTTGGACCCTCATATTTTCACAGAGATGTTATAATCATAAAACTCAACAAGTTTGTGTATTTCAAATTAGCGCGATACATCAGGGTGCATTAATTCTAGAAAAAAATCACACGGTTATACTAATTAAATCCTGCGTGATATATTAAGATGATAAATGATATGTATAAACATCCACTCATGACAGTGGATTCATTATGCATATACTTCAAAGAAAACTAATATTTGCGATTCTCAGAACAATCGAACAGTATCTATTAGAATTATTTAATGCTAAATCTCCGATAAAATACTATATTTTACCTATAAAATACACATATTACATAGAACTAAAAAGCTTTTCTTGACATTTATCTACCACCATCTTGTTGCAACAACATTTCTTCTGTAAATGAATACCAAACTGAAGATAACTCATTGTGAATATGATCATTTCTACACTCAAATCCCTTAACCTCCATAGAAATCCTGGAAGCTTCATTCTCGATGGACTCAATCTTCCAAGCTTGAGCCAGAAATCTCTGAGCCTCAATTCCCAATGCTTGAAGCTCCACTGCTAAATCTTTCATATATGGTCTATCCTTTCCTTTTACACTTATGCATTTTTCTGCTACCTTAGCAACTTCCATTAGCTGATCAATATTGTCATTGCAATATATGTTACTATCGAAAAGCTGAACCAAATTATCTTCTTCCAAAGAAGAAAGGAAACGATTCGCTAAAAATATTTCTGTTACAGGTATTTCTGATTCCATCACTCTCTTTCCTGTTAAAAGTTCTATCAAGACAACCCCAAAACTGTAAACATCGCTTTTCTCAGTCAATCGGCCTGTTTGCATGTACTCGGGTCTAAATAACCGCATGTACCTTGCACTATTGTAGACACTTGATTTCCATCTGCAGGAAGTAACCTTGATATCCCAAAATCAGCTACTTTTGCAGTGTAATTCTAATCAAGAAGTATATTTGCTGATTTGATGTTCCTATGGATAATTGGAGGAGAGGCAATGGAGTGTAGATATGAAAGCACTCCCGCAACTTCTGAGGCTATTCGCAAGCGAATATTCCAAGAAAGTTTTGTTGCTTTTAATTTGTTGTGCAAATGCTCCGAAAGTGTTCCATTCTCAATGAATTCATAAACAAGTAATGTGAACTTCTGTCTCTAGGCAACAACCAAGAAGCTTTACCACATTCCGATTGTTGATTTGGGAAAGAACAATTACCTCATTTATGAACAGCTCAACTTGATGTTGATCAACTCCTCTTGATTTCTTGATGGCCACTTTAGTCTTGTCCATCAATGCTCCTCTGAAAACTATCCCGAATCCACCTCGACCGATGACATGGCTTTCATCAAAGTCATTGGTTGCCTTTTGTAATTCTTCAACAGTAAAAAGCCGAGTACTATAAGTGCTTCCTTCACTAGTGATTTTTTGCAGTAAAATTAGTCCACCATTTTTTCCTGAAAAACTTCTCCTTCATTGTATTAGCTTTTCTTCTCATCATTTCAAGATAGAAACAAATTGACAAAGCCATAAGGATTGCACTCCCGGCGCTTACACCAACAACTGTTTCCATGCAAAAATTAAAAAAAAAATTTCTTGTCAACAAAAGGCTTAAGAAGCGATTTCCCAATACTGCAATCTACTAAATAAATCAAAAACTAACCTGGTTGCCAATATCTTTTCTTGTCTTTGTGTTCGTTAAGAATGCATCCTTCTCCCTCTTTGCTTACATCCTTATGGAATCCTTGATTACATATGCAGGAATAGCTCCCCAAAGTGTTATTACAGAAACTGTTTTCTGGACATTTATGAAGAGATGGATTCGCACATTCATCGATATCTGCAGTGTTTGATGTTATTAGTGAAAAAAAGCAAAAATCTTCTCCTGAGTGTTAAATCATCAGCACGATCAATGAACAAAATAATCAAAGTGGACTAAATTTTAATCTGTTTCACTCATTATGCATCAATCATATTACCTCTGCCTCAAACAATAATACAAATCGAGTTTTGAAATTTGTACTATTTATAGCGTAACAAAGAACCTGATAATGTCATTACTTACCTTGGCAACCATCAGGGAGATACGGGTTTCCCTCGAAACCATCCTCACATTTGCATCGATAACCTAGATCCCCATCCGGATCATAACCCCGACTTTGTTCCGCATTGCAAGCGTAAGAGTCGACATCATTCTTAGCCACTTCACATTTCTCATACGCAACAACCCAATCGGCCACGACAGGGACGCTCGACTTCTTGTCTACATTGGTAAGATTATCGACGAAAAAGCCAAAAGCCGCGTCCTCAACAACAAAGCCGTAGCTGCAAGGACTGAAACCCGACAAGTAACGGTGGTTGTAAAAGCTGTCCACAGTGAGATCGATACTCCGAGCTCCAGCCGGTATGGAAATCTCGTAACACCCGACACCCGAACACGAACGATCCTCGACATCTTCATTGTCATCACACAAAGACATACATCCAGTTGTGTTGTTATGATTACTTTGTCCTTTGATGAAATTGCCTCCCCTGATGACGGCAGAAGTGTCACAACCAAATGCGGTGAACTTATTGGCTGTACTACTGAAAACAAATGGAGAGGACAAGGACATGGATGTATGAAAGTGATCAGAAGGATTATTGTTTTTTTTGGCATCGTAGAAATCGAATCCCACGTCGTACAACAAGCGCAACTGGCCAATTAGGTTTACCTGTGTTACTACATTTGTACTGTTCCAGATTGTAAGCTGCGGATTGTTACTAGTTGAATTTTTTGCATTCCAGGAAGAATGCTTCATTCAAGTAACATTCTTTTGTAGTACCAAATGGAAATGGAATTCTGATATTGCCACATTAAGCTTGGTCTTTGTTTGAGTTAGAATTGTATTTGAAAGTGAAGACCGACCTGACTCAAACTAATTTCAAACGATTGCGTGATATTCTCGAAATCCGGAGTCCAACTGTTAGAATTACCTAGAGATGTCAACACCTCCGACTCACAATAAGATTGAAAGTTCAAGTGTTCAATGATGAAATACTGAATGACTTCTAGGAACCGGCCGCTCGAGGCCAGCTTTACTGAATTGATAAGAAACGAATCGACTGTGAATAGCCGGAAACGTTAACGAACTTACAAGAATTAATGTTGAAATGTAAAAGAAAACATGAAAGTTTGAAAGAAAACAAACGATAAAAGCTATAAAAGAACTAAGAATATGATTTTTGTGTGATGAATTCTGTGTATCCTCGGCCGTCTCTTTTTTACAGCTTTTATAGGAGATTCGCCAACCCTAGTTGGAATGCAACCGAAGTCAAATCCAATAAAGACTTCTGTTGCGGCTGGAATCCTTCTCCAACAAGGATTGTGATGTTGACGACTCCTTCTTGAATTCAAACTATTGCCCGTTGCTTCGTCCTTGAGTAATAATACGGCGGGCTTTATGATTTTATTTTCTCCATTATTATTACTGCGATCGGCCCAACTCATGTGGACCAGATTTGCAAAAATCGGTCCAACATAAAGCCCCCTAAGGGAAGCAACTTTGAGGCCAGAAAATTGCTTGCCTTACTACCCAACCCTTTCTTTAGCCCAGTAAAGTGGGGCGATCCAGTAATAAATCCGTCCAGCAGAAAAAAAATGATCGGCCCAGGAGCCCCCCTAGCAAAGGCACGTGTGCAAAAACGTGTGTTTTCTAACGACTTCCTATCTCTGCGCTTATCGAGGGTTGACCAACTTTGAAATTACTGGAGTGATGACGGAGAGAGAAAGAAGAGGATATAACAACTTCAACAGCTTATCTTCTTCTGAACGGAAACAAAATCCTTTTCCGATTTCAAATCACAATCGAATCCGAATCTGTTACAAGTTGCTATATTAAAGTAGCAAGGCCTCCCAAGAAAAAATCCCATATCCGTCTGTTCAACTCTGAACCCAACAACTATACTTTTAGCAAACCAATCTGAAACCCTTGTCGATTCAAACCTGCTTTTGCTGTTGGTGCAATTAGTAAGAGAAAAATGGTTGGAACCAACGACGCTAATCCTATGGCCTATGACAAAGCCAAAGCTGCAACCCATTGCGTGAGACCGGAAGATCTCGATTTCTTGCAACCATATGAAGAACAAGTTATGTTACCATTCAACCAATCTGCTCGCCACTTTACTCTGGGCCCCAATTTCCCATCAGTGCCTGAAAGCTTGAAGGAGTACATCCCAGTGTTGAACCAGATGATGCTTATTACAAATACGAGAACCCCTGCAAGTTTGATAATTTTGATAGAATACGAGTATGACCTAGTCCGACAAGTCGGAAACCGAAGAAGCGTTTGTGCAGTGGTATCACGAATTGGAGCCGGAATATGGAGACACCTGGAGAATGGCTGGGATTTACGATTTGTTGCAATTTTGCACCATAGGGCTGGGAGAGAGTTGGGATTCGGTGGAGGCCTTGCTGGGGTTCTGGAGTGGCAACAGTAACGTGTTTTGCTTTTCTTGGGGACCCATGACACCCACCTTGCTTGATGTTTTCGTGATTATAGGTCTGCCTGCTGTTGCAACCATTGCTATTGATGGTAATGTAACAGATGAGGACACAGTTGCAGCAGCGGCGGGTCAACCAAGGAGTTACGGCCCTTTTATCAGGGATAACAATGGGAAGTTGAGTCGCCTACACCATATTTTCTTTCTTGCTCTTTGGTTAAATAGGTATGTGTTCCAGGGAAATCTTTTCAAGTGATTATGGATTGGTATCATGTTGCTGGTAGATTAGCGGCTAGCAAACAAATGAATTTGGTTGAAGCTTCTCTGGCCATGTTGTATCACTGTTTGCATAAAGCTAGACATAACCCAGGTTCAACTTTAGGTGGTCCTATCTCGTTATTGCATTTTTGGCTGTACATGTATTTTCCTAATTTGAAACCAGAAGGAATTGTTCCTATGGAGAATAGAGAATCTCTTTGCCTTGGAGTGACACAATATAACAAACCGACCTTCATTGGAACACAAACATTCACAACTGTGTTTGAATTCAGCCCGGACATAGGTGTGATAGTTCAGCAGCTGAGCCATGACTGGTGGCATAAGAGCTTTGGTACTATCTGCCATTCGGAAGCAGAAAGTGGAAGGTGGGATAATATTGGTGCATTTGGCTTGACATCAGTATGATCTTCTGTCAGCAAGGGATATCTTCTATGGTAGCAAAAGTGTGCAGTCCCGAAATGTTGGTGCTGATGTGCACGTAGAATATTAGCCAGCTAATGTGGTTGCTCGCCATTTTGGTTTTGCACAAAGCGTGCCACATTTCAAAGTATCTGGTTGGAACACGGGGAGACTTGGCATGGAAAAACTGACCATGGCACAATATACAGCTCACAGGGAATTGATGGCTGTTTGGGGCAGGACTACACCTATAACTCCCTTAAATCTGCTTTGAAGCAACACCTGGATTTACAGAATGGTGGGGTGAGCAATCAAGTACCATGTATGGCTCTAGATGTGAGGCAATCAAGACTGCATTTTGCATCGGGAAATATGTGAAACTGACAAGCCGTCGTCACACTAGTCAAATATCAAATTACCTACTTAACACTATACTGGTAGTAAAGCAGAAAGCAGGGTCAATCCCACAGAGAAGGATACCAAGTATCAGGTTAAAATTATTTCTTATTATTATTTAGACAACTAATAATAATAATGTTAAATTAAACTAAACCTAAAACTAATAATTGTAATTAATTAAAGATATAAACAAGTAAATGAAAACCTAGGGCAAAGAGTTCACCTATCGACTACTCAATTTAACTCAATTTATATATATGTGACTTTGGACTCTCATTAATCTCACAACAATTCACAAGGATAAGAACTATTCACTGTCGTGACATAATTCTCTTACCTAAATTAACTCTATGATAACTGTCGTGACTATAGGGATTAATAAAAGTACATTAAGAACGTTAGAATCTCTAGTTACAAAGCGGTATTCCTACTGTCGTGGCTCACTACCTAAGTCTAATATTCCCATGAAGTAGTGCTAACCTTCAACCGTCGTTACTTCAGTTAAACACCTTTAAAACATGCAATTGGTGATCAAATACTCACATGTAATAAAAAAAATATTTAATATCAACTAATGAAAAAGTCACAATCATAAATTAAGTTAAATAAAATAGTACGGCGGCTCCAACCAAAACTCTAGATTAAAAATATTTATCTACTATACATCATCTCAAGATATAAATAAATAAAAACAAAAGAACCCGGAACGAATGATCAAATTCAATGCTGCCCGGCTTCTCTTGCGCATGCCCTTCCAATGATGTGTGTAGATGGATGATGGACGTGAGGTGGTAGGATTTCGGTGGTGAGGCATGGAGGTGTGATGGATGATGAGGCGTAGAATGTGAAGGGTTTTTTTTTTGGTGTGGAAAAGGTGTAATGGTGTAAGGTTTTGGGGCTAGTTTTTGGTGGTGTAGTACGTGGGGTTTTGAGGGCGGAAGGGTTTGAGTTTAGTGCGTGGAAAAGGGTTGGGTGGAAAAGGAGTTTGATGTAGGGCGGTGGCGGGTTTTGGGCATGGGAAGGGCTTCCAAAAATTGATGTATGTAATGTCCTTATATAGGCTCTCCAAACCTTGCGCTCCAATCAACTGACCCCAGAACCCTATGGAAGCTTCCTTTCACGTGTGTTGTTGTCCAATACATTTCTAGAAATTTCACTTTAGTCCCTGAGGTTTCATAAAATTACAATTTGACCTCAAAGCTTCTTCATCTTTGTATTTTAGTCCCTAATCCGTGTGTCCATGATGGAATCCTCATCTTTCACTGGATTTTCTTCTTCATCAATTATTCCAATATTCAATTGTGCTCCTTTGAGTTACTTTCATTTCAATTTTATCTCAAAACTCCAACAATCTCTTCATTTGAGTACTATTCGCTACAATTACAGATAAAATCAAATAAATAGCACATTTGTACTCAAAATATTGGTAAAATCTCGCATAAAGGGATATCAAAAATAGGTAAATTATATGCATATCAGAAACCCAAAGCTGCGGTTGGTGAAGCAGAATCATAACCAAAAGGTTAGTCTTTCTCTTCTAGTGTTTATTGTTGATGTCTTCCTTTACATGAGTGTCTGAATATGTTCTGTATAGGAAAGGGCAAAGGGGGCACCAAAGCCATGGCTGGTGTGCAGAAGGGCAAGAAAACCACTGTTGTTGCAGGAAGCAAAGCTAAACCAACGGCTGCTAAAGGAGCGGCAGCCTCAACTCGTCGGTCCATCAAGCTAAGTGGACAGAAACGTTCTACAAGTGAAGCCAGCAACAAGGTAAAGTATCACAATCAGCCTTGTCATTGCACCAGATAATGAATCGTAGCAATTTTGAATGTGGTTGTTGCGTCATAGGACCACCCGGTGACTGTCCATAGTAGTGAGGAAGAATCTGACAGTCAAGAAAGTGAGAAGGGTTCTGTTGCATGTGGTGACAATGCTGCTGCCAAAAAGGCAATGTCTGAGACTGGTGGATCAAAAAGTAAGAAAAAATTGAGGGTTGCCAGTTCTTCTACCCAACCGGATTCTAGAAAGAAAACTCCTCCATCGACGGCAGCACTAATGG